AGTCTGGAGAGCTGCATTGGTTTGAGTTAGGTTTGCTTGGGGACAAGCAAACGGTTAAGTGTGGAGGGATTTAATGACTCGATATTTGCACATGTTTTCCCTTTTTGTTTCTTGATCGTTTGAGCTTTAATTATCGCGTCTTTGGCCTATTTTACGCTAGGTTGTGTTCCTTTGTCACATTTCAGGTCCTAGCACATAAAGTGAAGCATAGGCGCAAGTTTCAAGTCAATCAGAGATCAATTGGCGATTAGGAAGAAGAAACTCGGGCATGACCTGAAGAAGAATGCATTTCTACCTCACTTTATGGACAAAGAATCATGGACTCTTGTCATGAAAAGAAAGAGGACGAGACTACGAGCGTCTGGGATCAAACGACGACTGCCTTTTAGCCAGATTTGAGCCAAAAGGAGAAGGAGTTCCGAGTTTTAGAGAGAGAAAGCGATTCCTAGAGAGAGAAAGCGATGAACCAGAGTTCCCAAGTGCCCTAGCTTGATCTTCATCATCATTGGAGCCCGGCTTGAGCTTGGAGAAGTGCCGATTGACGACCAGGAGCAGAAACCCATCCTTCACAGTATGGTTTCCGCATCTGAATCTGCTTTTGCTTCTCTCTCCATGGAGTAGTTTTTCCATTCATCTGGGTATGGAGAAACCTAGATTTGTATGCTAGGTCTGATTGTATGAACCCAAGTATAGATTTTATGATTTGATTATATTCAATTGAGGTTTGAATGATTGAATGACTTGAAACCTGATAAAAGTCATGTTGTTTTTGCTTTAACCTAGAAAGAGAATATCTGCCTAGGTTGATAGAGCACCCTTAATTAAAGGTAGTGAATTGGAAACTTTAGTCGAGGAGCCAATTCACTATTCTGTACCGAAGTTACTTCGGTAGTGGAGGTTTTGTTTGTTAGGGCCTCAATCTGTTTACTCCGGTGGAGGTTAGTCGCCCACTGGAGACTCAGATTGAGAGGGTCTGGAGACCTTTTGTCGAGACTTCAGAATGTTTAAGAACCTTCCGCAGTATAACTATCTTATAAATTGAACTTGATAAATTACAATCCGGCTTAACTGCAATCTAGGGGGAACCATATCTGGGTGACCTCTCTCGACTTGAAAACAACCGTTTAATTGCTTTGCTTGTTTTGCTTGTTTGAACCTACACTAAAGTTTCACAGCTAGATAATAAGAATTCACTGAGTAGTCATCACATCTAGGACCCGGGTTGACATTAAAACCCAAACCCGCTATACTACGCTTTAGGAAGTGGTTACACTTGGCCATTTTCTAGAGTGACAGTAGGAGCGAGTCAACAAGCTTATTCAATCCCTATAAGGATCATTCTTAGCTTCATTTTCCTTGCCCTCATGGCATAAGAAACATCAAGTCTTAAACACATGCATGATAAACAAATTATCATGTCTTGACCAACATCATAGGAATTAGAATTCCTTGTCGCTTGTGGATAGACAAGCATTAACCAAATGTCATCTCCAATACAGTGGAGGTATCCTTTTTCGTACTATGTCCAACTTACTTTAAACATAACTTTTGCATTCAATTTGGTACGATTCCTGCTTAGATAGACTTGACTCAATAGTCCCCACTAACCTTCCGCCATAGGTTTCACGCACCTATGGTTGTTCACAGTTTCCTAAGCGAATAGTTTGAAGGCATCCAAACCACCTCATAGTCTATGAATTACTATCTTTGAATTTAATCTATTCGTAATATGTGGAATATGGTAGCATAGAGGTCAGAAACTTCTATCCTCACATGCATTACATTGAATGAACAAGTGTTCACAAATGATTTGACACACTTATCATTCACCATGTCCGAGAAGAGAACATAGCAGCGAAGCAACCGAGAAAGGTTTGGCGGCGTCCAGCAGGATGGACCTCCATTGCCACCGATGCGGCCATTTTCCTAGATGGCATGGTTGGGCTGGGTGTAGTTGTCAACGATTGTGATGGTAAGTTTCGCTTTGCTGGTGCAAAATGCATCAGTTGAGTCGGGAGCGTGGAGTTAGTGGAAGCTCTCGCAGTTGAGTTGGGAGCCCAGCTGGCGTCCCTTCTGCATGCATCGGGAGTCCCTTCTGCATGCACTGAAGTTGTTGTTGGAATGTGATAGCTTGGTGGTGATCAACAAACTGAATGTCCCAGAAGGTGATTTAACATAGATGGGAGTTGTGTGCCGAAGTATAGGCAGGGGTCTGGACTAGGTTGCCGTACACAGATGGAGACATATCCCACGAGAAGCGAATGAGGCCGTTCACTTAATGGCTCAGACATATACCCACGGAGACGAGAGAATTGTGTGGCTTGACAGCCCGCCAATTTTTTTGATAGATCAGTTGAAGTTAGATGATGTAACACTAATACCCGATCAATAAGAATCCAGGTTTCTATAAAAAAATTTACTTTTTATCAAATCATTACTTTAATTACTTTTCTCTTCTCCTCAATTCCCATTCAATTTCTCAATTTACCAACTCCATCGGTCAAACTCTAAAACCCAAAAATTCATTATTTATTATTACTATAATAATTAATATTTTAATATTGAATTGTTCAATTGAAAATGTAAATAAGATATAGAATTCTCAATTTAAACACTAGTATTAAATTTTAGACATACCATGAAGTTATTATTATTTTATTTGAAAAATTAATATTTCCTTGATTTTATCACCGGTTTCATATCAATTAACCACCGGTCATCCGATAAAACTTAAACCTCTCGCTAATCCAGATTGATGCCCGGTCCGATTTCGACAACAATGATGTCACCTATAAAGTTTATCATATTAGCAGACTAGGTTTTGAAATGAAGATTAATAAAGTCACACAATTAATCTTTAATGCATGGATGATAAAAAAAAAACACCCAATATTTAGGAATTGTCCAAATTCATATTAGTCTATGAAAAATCAGGTTTGGATGATTTTATTTTTGGGCAGAACTATATCCAAACTTTTAGTTTAGATCTAAATTAGACTCATAGTGTTTGATAAACGAAAGAAAATTGGGTACCCGATTCTAATGCAGATTTTTCTTATCTTTTTGTTATGAAACAAACAGAAAGGTGGAAACACTAATATTAAAGGAGTAATTGTATTGAAAGTAGTTAATAAGATGATTAACAATTTTTCGTGTGTACAATCATGTGAACCAATACTGACTCATTCGGTCGAAACCAAATAGACTCATTTGGTTGGACTCAAATGAGTTGACCCAATTTAAACATAACTCAAACCCAAAACAATTAAAGTACATATGGGTCTATTTAGGTCCAACCCAATATTACCCAACGACTCGATTCATCGTCATTACTACTTGTTTTACCGGTCCCTCTCTGTCACCTTCAAACTGAACCTGAGCAAGGCCCATATCCGGGCACCACAGAATAGCCTCACGAAGAAGTAGTGCCTCGACCAGAGCAAGGCCCATATCCAGGCACCGTCAGATGCTCCAAAAGAGAGCGACTACCGTCATACTTTGTTGGGGTTGGTCTACTCTCCCCATCAACCATTTGAGGAACAACTTGAAGGTTTTTCGTGGAATGCCTTGGCCTAAATATCTTAGTCTAGTGTGGTCCCACAGGGCCTGTGCAACTGGGAAATCCAGAAAAAGGTACTCAACATCGGACACTGAGGTAACAGTTGGGCCTCCTTCTCAATCAGAACTTCCGTAGTCGGAAGGATTCGCTGGTAAATTTGCCATAGAAATTTTTTAAACTTGGACAGGATCGGGAGCTCCCACAATCGTATCCAACTTGCTCCATCCACCCAACTGACTGTCTGGCGCCAGACCCCTCATTGCCGATCTCTCACCACTGCTAAGTGATAAGCATATTTAACCGTGAGAACCTCATCACGAATCTCGTGCCAAATCAGAGAATCCTCGATATGAAGAACACAAAGGATAGCATTTTAAAAGGAAATGAAAACGAAACTTTGATCGAAAATGCACTCGAGCTAGCTTTTTTATTTTGGTATTTCGTTAAATTAGGTGTCGAGAGGATTTGTCCCGACTATGGATGGCAAAAATATCCGTAACCGTGGATATCCGTCCGAATTCGATCTGATCGGGTAGGGTAAATTCCGAATCCGAAGGACTTTTAGTGGGCACGGGTAAAAACCGAACTTGAATATTGCGGGTAATGGGTGCACATGGTTTTCTTACTATCCAACCCGAACCTGCCCGATTATACACATGCATATGTATTTTGTCTAGAAATTATATTTTTCTCTAACATATTTTATATTTAGCATATAAATATAATATTTTTATGAAATTGTGTTGTTTTAATTAATTTTCTTCATTCTAGTGAATTATTGTCTTACTTTTCGTCTTACGTAACTTGAGAATACGTGTGAATATTAATATATTGGTTGGAGTTATAAAGAGAAACTATTACCCATGGATATTCGAAACCCGAACGGATATGGGCACGGTTTGAATTTTCTACCTGTTTCTTATATGGGTATGAGTATGGATAAAACCCGAACTACTTTGGGTAGAGTAATGAATATGCACTATCCGTCTCCAACCCGACCCATTTTCATTCCTAGTCACTGACTTGATTTTAGTTACCCTAAAGAACACCAAGTAGGTATAAAACTTTCGTAAAAAAAAAAACCAAAACAAATATGAAACTCCTCCCTTCTTCCTCCCAACATCTCTCTCTAGCAAAAAGTAGCAGAAAACAAGTGTAGGATCGGAACAGTATCGACTATCGAGTGAAACTATAGTTGTAATATAAACACCCAATTAAGATTACCACAATCCATAACGCAATGATGACAATTTGGTTGAGCCTAGACCTGTTTTAGCAATAATACTCTAATACTTTGCTAGTTTAATTTTGAACAGCTATTCAACAACAATTACATGTAAATATACTTGGACTAAAGTATCAAAGATCGTGGATATAAGAGGGTGTGACATATTCAGTATTATAAAACTCGCTGTCCTCCTACAAGTTAACACCATCAGTCTCAATTCTGTGTGGTACGACACTCGTACAACTTGCACCTCAGGTACTCGCACTTGCCAGCTACTGCATTCTCATGTCTCTTCACACACTGCACCAAAGCACAACCGAACAAGGCACACAATAAGAAGAAGAAAAAGAAGAAAAAAAACTCTAGTTTGTTGTTGCCTACAATGCTGAATCAACAATTCAAACACTTTAGAGACTATAACCAACAATAAATCACATCCTACCTTGTCAAAAACCTTCTGCCAAGCAGCACAAGGAATCTTCGTGCCCGGTTCACCAACTGGAAGCACAGGTTCAGGGAGGATGGTCATCTCTAGTTATGTTAAGAAGAAGATCAAGGTATTCATCAGAGAAATTCTAACATAGCAAGCAATTGATAAAGGAGGTATGGATTTCGAATTTCATACCATCAGCAAAGCCGTCAAACCGGCTGTTGAGAAGCTTGCGAACCCAACGATCACTGTCAGAACCCTCAAAGGCCCAAGGCTGAAAAGAAAAACAAAGAGCAGCAACCACAGATACTTTAGGTTGTGATAAACATATGAAAATTCTAGAAAGATTTAACCAGGACCTGCATTGGATCTGTTTGCAAAAGGGTTGTGCATTTTATCCAAAGCAAAGAAAGTAACACAATGGGAATTCGATACGACGTCAAAGAAGCCAATGCTATTTTGGAGTTCAGATAGTGGATTTTCACTCGAATAACTACAAATCAGGGGCCACATATCTATTGAAGCATCAGGACATTCAAAATGCAGATTAGGCTGATGCTATCTCTACTGAAATTACCATTAGGAATTGAATGAATGATCACAGAAGTTTCCCCTCAGAAAAAGAAGAAAGAAAAGCATATTGGGAGTTTAGCCACCAATAGAGAGATTACCTCAATTCTTTCCTTGATATAGTGGTGAAAATAATAGTAGTCAGGGTTAATGCCTTGAGAGCTGTACAACACAGTATCACCAGCACGACGCAGCACACCAGCAGAAGCAGACGTAACGAGATAATGGAGGGTTGAAATATCTACAAGTAAACAAGAGAGGTTGGGAATCAAATCATTGACTTCTTCTTAAATTTCCACATTCAACATCCTAGAGCTACTTATCAATCTATCTAAGAAGTTCCACATTCAACAACTAATGTATTCGTAGCTAATCCCATAGCTTAGAAGATTCTACGCATGTTTAATGGGAGAAAAAAATAAAATTACCTTGGGAATCGCCGGTGAAACCTGCGACGCCGGGACTCGGCGGGAAGTAACCCTAGGAACACCGCTGAGTCCAATGGCTGTAGACCGGTCCCCAGCCGCCGGCTCCCAGTTCCCTCCTCGGAGCTTTCGAACCACGACGCTTAAGCAGACAGCAGGCCGCCATTTTTTCTTTCGCGGAATCGCGATCACCAGCCCGACGAAATTCAGCTTTTGCTATTTACCGGCAACATAACCCTAAAACTAAAACGACTGGAGACCGATGGTTTCCGCCTCAGTCGTGGGTCGGGTAACGTTTGGGCCTCCGCGAAATGTATCCATATCTAGTGAGACGGAGCGTGTACAAGGCCAGACAAGAAACAGAATTCTAAGCCCGTTGGCAACAATATTGGGCGTAGCCCATAAGCTCTGTTGTTATAAGGCTCAAATTAAAATGTATGTCGGCCCCAAATTGATAGGGCTTTTAGCGCAGTGTCCAAGAAACCGTACCGTATCGGCGGTTGAACCACGAAATATCACTATTGGAGGCTAAACTGATAGGCGATATTTACCGGTATAACGATTGAACTACGGTTAAACCACAGTTTTATCAAAATACCCTACCGCTGACTTTCCCAGTACGGTTTTATGGACCATGTTTTATCTATGAAAATAATTGAACTCATTATTTCAGTACAAAATACTACATAGTTTAGCATCATTCTTCAACTATTTTAATGTTCTAAATTCCCTAATTTTGGTTTATAACTCATTTTTCTTAATTTATAAATTCTTGTATGTGACTTTAAATATCAGTTGAGATTTCTCGACCAATACAACCAATGTCTAGACAAATCTTGATTCTGAAATGCAAGTTTCTAATAGACTCAACTATTAAATAACCACTTCTCACCCGCATAGACTAATGCCTCCATATATTTTCTTGCCCTGTTCTCAGGAAATACGTGCACTCAGGAAATACGTGCAGCGGAAGATCCTGATTCCGCCTTAGGGGGAAGCATCCGCGCGAGACCCTTTAAATTTGAAGCAACATGGTTTTTTTTGTCAAAAGATATCATGTATTGATCGAAAAAATAGACAGTTACATCCTGGAAACCAACCAGGTCTGAAAATCAAAGAAGCGACTCATAGTCGGATACAAAGAGATGGTTTTCCTAGCTACCAAATGAGCTACCCTATTGTTCTCCCGACCTACAAAACTTACACTAAAACCAGGCTGAGTTCGAAAATAATGAGCAACCTCTTCCAGAACAGCACCCAACCGGCTATCTCTTGTGTCGGCTTGATTAATTTTGTCAATAATCACCTTAGCATCGCCCTCAAATCGGACCTCCGACAAACCTTGCTCCACACACCAAATAATAGCATCCCTAAGCACAAGCAATTCCACCACTACAGGATCATCCACATGAGAAAACTGGACCCCTCTAGCCAGAAGGAGTGTCCTCGCTAGGTCAAAAAGAACCATCCCACCAGCCGAATGTGACCCTTAGTAGCTCCGCCCCACATGCAAACCAAATGGGAATCACCCACTTGTGCTGTAGATTGCAATATCGGGATTTGAGCCCTAGGCGCCTAATCCACTGGTAGACCCACTCATTCCTCATACTGTTGATGGAACTGTCGCATGAGAGCCGGGATCCCAAATTGTTAGCCTTCAAAGACTACCCAATTTCGAGATCGCCAGATCGTTCAATGGATGGCAACAACAGCCATAACCACTGACGGTTGATGGATCAAACCCAACAGACGTTTGAGAAACAAAGGAAAACTATGCTGAGGCAAACCCTCCCCCAAGTACTCCAGCCCAGAATAATCCCAGGGGGCCCGCGCAACCAGACAATAAAGGAACAGGTGTTCCATTGTCTCCGGGCCGTCCCAACAAACAGGACACCGAGGTAGCACCTTGATATGATCTCAATTCCACCCTTGAATCATCTCAAACAAAGCGTTCAAAGATCGGGTCAAGTTAATACGAACTTGGCTGGAAATTTTTTAAGTGTTGAGACAGTTTTGGGAAGGGTACTTTGGAGGGCTATTTCTCTCAAACCTCTCATTGGAAATGCAAGGTTAGAGTCTTATTTTGAACCCTGGATGTTTGTTTATGGTTTGATGCATTTGGATTGTGAAAAGAAGGTCAGGAGGGTTGTTTTCCAAAGCCATCAAAACCCTATCATGCATTCTGGAATCTGCCAGTTTTTGGCTAAGGCAGGGAAACAGTTTGAGGTACCAACTTTGAGCTCGGATTCAAGGAGTTTGGGGCATGACCAGCTGGAGCTTGGAGTTGGGAATGGAAGGGCAAGACTTTCTAAACCAAGGGAAGGAATTGGTTGAGCTCGACTCAACCCAGAAGATCGATTTCCAGAACCACGAAGTTGACATCAAGGACTGTTTTTGGACAGCTTACTTAGTGTGCAAGTTTTGATTATTTGTGTTAATTACTTTCCTTGTTGCACTTGAATTCGTTTTCATTGTTTTAATAGGATTAGGTTATGTTATTTTGGCTATAAATAGCTTTGTCATCCATTGTAAAGAACACGTTTTATCATTGAGTTGAATCAAAGTTACTCCGAGGAGTTTTCTTGAGCACGAGTGCTTGAATTTGGTCTTGGATCGAGATCCTTGACTTGCAGACTTCGAGATCAAATCCATCACCTTTGATCTCGTGGTGTTCTTCTACCCAAACCAGCCTCTTCCCCGTAGTGTTGAAGTTGCTTGCTTGGTTCGTTTTATCCGTGAAAACCCCTATTCGACTAGTCCGAAATCCATCCTCACACTCCCATTCTTGCTTCGCTGCGTGATTGAGAGTTCAAGTTCTGACTTGGCTCGCATCAAGTGGTAATCAGAGCCCGGTTCACCTCAGTGGACAGGACGAAGGACGACATTGCGGGAACGACGATTTGGACGAGGTCCAAAGGCCCAGTTGAGCGAGACCCTGCTGTTCGACAGAAGGAAGGGGTCGATTTCGACGAGCCAAACCAGGAGGAAGAAATCGCGATGTCGGGACAGTTTAATACAACAGAATTCCTACAAACTATTACGGCGCAGATGAGGACGTTATTCCAGGCTCAGTTTGACAAAATTGAGCGCCAATTGGAGCAGCAAGGACAGAGGCTCGACACTCTGTCTCAAGCGTTGCCAGATGCGGGTCGCACAAGGGAAGCTCCTCGCGGCGGAGAAGCAGGGGACGACCAGGAGCTAGGGAACCAGGAGATATTAGCTCGGATTGCGGAGTTAGAGCAGCAATTGGTAATCCCCAACCCCGAGCCCGGACGCCGTAATCGCGGAACTCGCGAATTTCAGAGAAGAGAGCAAGAAACAGAGGTCGTGATTCCTCATGGAATCAAATTAACAATTCCATCTTTTCAGGGAACGCTGAACGCCTCTACATACCTTGATTGGGAACGGAAAATCATTCTGTTCTTCCAGTGTGGGCAATTCACCGAACAACAGAAGCTGGCCATGATCACGTACGAGTTCTCGGACTATGCCGCTCAATGGTGGGAACGTTTACAGCTTCGTCGCCGGCAAAATCATCAACCACCCGTGGCAACTTGGGAGGAGCTGCGTGGTTTGATGAGAGAGCGGTTCGTTCCAGGTTATTACCAACGCGAGCTCCATGACGCGTTGCAAGGAATTCGACAAGGTGCGAGGACAGTGGAAGAATACTTCCGAGAGCTCGAACTGCTTTTGATGCGCGCCGACGTACGCGAGGACAAGGAGGCAACAATATCACGATTTCTACATGGCTTGAATCGTGATATTCGGCAGGAAGTTGAGCTTAGGTCATTCCTCGACCTTGAGGAAGCAGTGCACCTCGCCACCAAAATCGAGAAGCATTTGAAGCTACAAGTCACAGGCAGAAGGTTCCCTGCCACAAACAACGCACCAAAGCAGGCTCCTGAATTTGATTCGAAGCCTGAACTGACGAACAAAACCACAAGGCAGGTTGTTACACCAACCCAGGAGAAACAAGGAGCATCTAGTGGGAGCATTCGTTGTTTCAAATGCCATGGTTTTGGGCATAAATCGCACCAATGTGCCAACCAGAAGACACTTATTCTCAGGGATGGCCAATATTGTTCTGAAGATGAAGAAGAAGAGGAGAAGCAGAAGGAAGATGATGCCGACTCGGATTCTGAGGTAGAAGCAGCTAAAGGGCCACTGTATGTGCTTCGACGTGCCTTGACAAGTGAAAAGTTGCAACCATCTGAGGAAGATCAGCGCAGCAACCTTTTTCACACTCGTTGCCAAGTTAAAGGGAAGAACCTGGCCGTGATAATTGACGGGGGAAGTTGCGCAAATGTGGCGAGTCTTGACGTAGTCAAAAGACTCGGATTGGCTATGATTCCTCGGGAAGAACCATATTCCCTTCATTGGTTAAGTGATCATGCTGTGATCAAGGTGAATAAGCAGGTCCGGATTTCGTTTTCTATTGGGAAGTATCACGACGAGCTGTTGTTCGATGTCATTCCAATGCAGGCCACACACTTGGTGTTAGGACGACCTTGGCAATTTGATCGGAAGGTCTCTCACCATGGTCGGACCAACTGTTACACCCTCGAACACGGAGGAAGGAAGCTGACGTTTAAACCGATGTCCTCGGACGAAGTTCGAGCCGATCAGGAGCATCTGTCTCGAAATCGAACCAAGAATAACGAGGGAACAGGTAAGAACTCTCGTGAGCATCAGCTGTTGGCTCGAAGGTATTTGCTGACTGTCCTAGCAGGGAAGACAGTTGCCCGGAGAAGCAGAGTTCGTCGCCCCTGCTCGACGGCGGCCCTGAAGAGCACCGAATGGGGTGGGGCGCTCCGAGCAACGATGGGTGCCACGAACGACGACATCACAATCCCCAACCACCCAACAACGTGTACGAACGGCGAAACCCAGCTGGAACAAGGCCAATCGAAGAATGCTCAAAGTCAATTTTTGCCTTTAAACACGACGACCGACGAGCAACGGACGAGGGAATTGGTCGCGGAGTTTGGGGGCGATTCGAATCAACCCGACCCTTGGAACAACTTGCTGGGACTTCAAGGAAGGTGTGGGACACAAGAAATCAGGGCGGCGATACCTGAAATCGAAACGCCCAATTTTCAATTGGGTTCGCCGGAATCTGGGGAAGTGTCGCCGGAATCTGGAAAATTTAAATTTCCAGGTGGCGGGAAACACGGCAACGGCGATTGGGGTCGACTCGGGACGATTCAAACGCAGGAAATGGAGGTAGAAGATCAGTGGGAGCCAGGCGAACTCGATGCAAGCAGTGATTTGGGACGAGGCACTCGCAAATCAAAAACCCCAATTCCAAAATCCTCGCCGG